ATCCACAGTGCATTCCTATAAATATCCACAATTCGTGACCTCCTAGTAGCTGGATTACAGGACGACGCCACCCGTCCCAGTCAAAGGATTATGTGATCTAGTTTTAAAGGAATATGACCTTTCTGTCATGACAGTAGCTGCTTAAATAGTATTTTCTCTTTGTACCATATTTTACAGCCAAAATGTCGTGTTATTTTCAATAATGTTACTAATTCAGTGCGCCAAAGTCCGTAATATAGGCAGGTGCAAATTATTTGTCAAGATAGGTACCATTTAAGGCAATGTTTCTAAGTTTGGATTTTATTAGACACAATAAGAGCAGATATTTCTACATAAATATTTGCTATTTTGTAGAATAATATGATAAAATGTAGGCAAAAGTGGCGAAAAAGGCAGACACCAACCCGTGCAAGTGATATAAGATAGTTCAATAAGAAATAATTTAAGAATTGCTGTGATAAAAGGATTTTCCACTGATTTCGTAATGGAACGTTATATTGCAAAACATGGCATGATAAAGAAGAAAATCAATTTTAAAATCATAAAATAACATTGCAAATACTTATTTGGTAGAATTCAACTCCCAATAAATATGTGTTGTTTGAAATACTATTTAAAAATGAAAAAAAAAAATTATTTTAAAATTTTATTTAAAAATTTTATTTAAAAATGAACAGCTGTTTCATTAAAAAGTATTATTCTCATGGCCAAAATGTAAACAACTCTGTGGAGGGATCTTTAAAGGCTTCTGGGGCAGAGTCCTAAGGGATTTTGCTTAGTTTTTCTTTTCATAACTCATCTACAGACCAAGACCTTTCTTTGGACACCTCTACCAAGTTTCTACGCCCAACCGTTCTCTAAAATTAGTGGGGACAAAGTTTCCAATCAAATATTTAGATTCCCCCATGTTAATCTTATGGGAGAAACTCCAACTTTGATGGCCTGTGGGGCAAAGCCCGAGGATTTTTACTACATGAATTGGTGAAAGGGGGTGTCTACACAAAAAATATTTTATTTTGACACGTCGTTTGTAAAAATTCGTCCATTATTAACGGAGGAGTAGTGTTTTCAAGAAATCGCCTTCACGTATTATATATAAGGATTCCAGCTGAATTTATTAAGCTTGTATGTAAAAAAATCTACTTTTAGTCTTACTGCAGCAAAACAGCTGATTTCGAAACATGAATTGCAGGTCTTAAATAGCCCTTTCGCTCCTCGGGGAGTAAAATTAAGCTGTAGTCGATGACGTTTGTAGTACATTTTGCTCACTTGTTAGTGTGGTTTACAAGGTTTAGTGTTTTTAGAAGGTTTACATATAGTACCTAAATAAATTCTTAATTATTGCATTGGTAAATAGATTTGACCCATGAAAAACATCTTTAATTGTAGAAGATGTCAATACAGTTTTATGAAAACGAATACTCAAACAACTAACAAAACACAAATGAAGCCTTCATTAATACATATTAAATAAGTAGTGCACGTAGTGTTGAGTATGCATTGTTTTAGCCGTGACTATAAACAATTTAATCTGTGTAACCGAAAATTTTAATAGAGAATTAAATAACTTTCTTTTCATTACTAAGCAGTAAATTGATTTTCACGTTTGTAACGTATTAAGACGCCTCAATCCACTTAAATAATATTTACACTTTATTTAAACATCAAAGAAGAAAATTATCGTGTGAAATACGCTTTATATATTTAACCCTGTAGAATAATTAACGCGTATATTAAAGGTCATTGTGTTTTAATTTTTTGTATTGAAATATTTTACCAATAATATACACCACTTAGAATCACAAAAGTCTCTACTTAAAAACGGATTTTTCAGCTTCAATTATTAAAGTTAAACCGCAAGAGATAGCGCATTAATTTTTTATACATCCGAATTTAATTTTAACATAAAAAGTATTTCTTATATAGATGCAAAAGTATTTTGCTCCGGTGGATGAAACTCCTATCTAAGGGTGGTAAACAAGGAGTCTCACTACCCTCTATAATCTGGAAATAACAAGATTATATCAAGTTCATTGATCTGGATAGGATCTGCTAGATACCGTCTAATAGGATACAAACTGGTAATGTTATTCACTGCACAGAGCAATCTTTAAAACTTTACTTACAATACTTATTAAGAAAAACTATACATCGTTGGTAGCATTTAATATCTACCACGGTGTTGGTTAGCCTGACTCTCTTGTATTGAAGCGAGCTGGTCTAGTGGTAGAGCTTCAGAGCCCGAGGTCCCGGGTTCAAATCCCGACAATTACCAATGCATTTTATCTATGTGATAGTGCTGAAACCCTCTAGGACTAACCGGAAGTAATGTGTAAAAGAGTTTTGGGCTAAAACCTATCGTCCTAGCATGTGATGGTGGGTTCATTGGAAAAAAGTATTTAATAGGTTGATTAGTGATTGGATAGGACTAATTCGTTTGTAAACATTTGATTGGTAGTTGTTAATAACAAGTCTTTTGTTATGGAACCGTTCCAATCGATTCAAAATAGGAAACTATTTAATTTTAAAATAGTTATTAATTGCATGCATTTGTAAAATATTAGTGAAGGAAGTTTTTAATAACAATTAATCATTGAAAGTAAAAGCTTATCCAATTGTATAGTTTAATTAATTTTGCATAAAAAAATTGTGTTACCTAAACTTTTTTTAATGCTTTGAAAATGAACACAACATTTTAAATAAAGTAAAGCGTAAATATTGATATTATTTAGGAGTTTGTGTAGAGTTTTAGGCTTTAATTGCTTTGCAGTTCAGAGAGGCCATTGAAATGCTACAATTTCACCAGATTGATTATTTTACGTTCAATGGCTGACCTACTTCCTTTCAAGCAAGCGAACTTGCATTCCGAAACGAAATTTGAATGTCAAATAATAATTTAATAACGGATTTTGTAATACTTACCTGTTTGTGGTTGATATTGATCACTCCACTGTTGTTTAATTAATGATTTTGAACAAATCCAAGTGGTAACATTAAATGCTATCAGTTGCTAATTGCAAATGTAAAGAGATGAATCAATAAAGTTAAATTATGACTAATTCGATCAATTATCAATTATTAACCAGTCAGATGGGGACGCCACCTAGGTGCGTATTTTAACCCAAATATGTGTGAAGGATGAGTGTAGATGTGTAGAATGAGAGATAATGTTTTTAGCTTTGTTACTGACTAAGATCAGCTGTTTCATGAGCCAGAATCATTTATATTAAAGCCATATGACCAGTTTCGGACCATCCAAAAACTACTACTTATCCAACTAAAAAAGTTGTTAATTTGTTACGGTGTTCAAAGGTCCTGGTCAAATGATGTTAAGATTATTTGGAACTTACAAAATCTCTGTGAATATACACAACTTTCCTAACAGTTTATTTAAAAAGGGTATCGATGTTTTTCTTGGTACAAATGTTAGCTTACCTTGCTACTAAAAGTGAGAGTTCTCATAGGACCTAGTTCGGAGAGAGTAACTGCCCGTTGTAAGGGTAGTGCTTGGGGCTTATGGAAGTGGATAAAACAGCAATACTGTAGGAAATAAACACCCTTAATCCCAAGTGCACAATTACACATCTTTACTACAACATTTAAAGGTTTCACTAAGTAATTTGTGGTTTTTATGATGTTTAAAATTACTGCTGGTGATCAAACAGTTTTGGCACCTTGTTAACCAAGTTACTATTTATTTGAAACAGCATGTGCCTTTTCATTCATTTACCAATGAAACGGTTCTTACACTTTGTTGACTGGATTAGGCTACTATTTATTTAAAGCAACATGTACCTTTTCATGGTTCTGCCAATTTTGTTTATTGGGTTACTATTTTTGCAGCAACACATCCCTTTTGTTTATTTCTGGCAAAATGGTTCTAGAAATCTGTTGACTGGGTTACCATTTATTTCCAGCAATCACATATGGCATACTTTATTTTAAATTACCATTCTAATAGGTGCTCACCCTAATAGTAAATTGAATTAGCCATTTAAAATTGATCCAATCATGGGCCTTGTCGATTGAATCGATTTATGATACCTTGCTGGAGGGTGAGGACAACTGGGACTGCTGGTCGCACTTTGTACGGAATGTCCTTTAAAGGACGATCTAGATCAGATCACTGTTTAGATTTTGTAAGAAATGAACTGCTAGACATGGAAGTAAGCCCCTCGGGCGTAGGCAAACTCAGCCTAGTTCTGATGAAGTACGACAAGTGTTCCCTGGCTAGTGTCTGAAGAGTAGAAGAGGTTTTTAGTGGGTAGTCTCTGGGCCTTAAACTCGTTGGAGTCCCACAATACAGGCTAGCCACCTGTGTGCATAAATGCATTTCCCAACTCTCTGTGCTGGATTTTGAGGGTTGAAATATTCTGGTTTGTTACAGTTTAAAAATTATTTTTCATTTTAATATTAACAATTCCATTACGTACAATGTATTTGTCAAAAACAGTGGCAGGCAATGATGAACTAAGTGCAATCGATATTTCATAGTGAACCAACACGCTCTTGTTTGCAAATCAAACACTCGATGAGATTAAAGGGTCGGATTTGGAGCTGTTTGTTGATAGCGAGTCACCAGCCACAGCACATTATTTTTACTAATAGAGGAATTTTTTCTGTATTTGTTTTTAGATTAACTTTATTAGATTTATTTAAAAATAAAATACTCCTAAACCATAAGTTTTCTCATTTTTGGACGAGCTGTTGGGTTAGGTTGAACAATATAAGAAAGAGGGGGTATACAAACTACAGGACCCCTTCATAGCTGAAGAACAATCTTCCCAATTTGATTTTATTATGGTTTTTAATTGCGTTCCAGTTTACAGAAATCCAAGAAGTCAATCGAAAATATAACATGAAAAGGAGAATGGAGGTTGAACGTTAAACGTCTAGATCCTTAGTGATTAAGAGTTAGTTGTGCTAGCGTAAAATGAGGAATATAATCTAAATTAGTGTAACCTAATAATCTCATATCAATGTTTGTTTGTCTGTTTCAGCTCCTCCTCTAGCCAAGATGTTTGAAAGCTAGGAGGAACCAGGTGATACAAAGCTGGGGAGAATGTCGGATGAACGCATCCGCCTGGTGATCCTGGGAGGGGCGGGGGTGGGCAAAAGCTGCATAGTCAAGAGGTTCCTCTTCAACCAATACGTGGACAGATACAAAAGTACTGTTGAGGACTTGTATAACCGAGAGTTTGACCTAGGACCTGTCACGATAAAGGTAAATATAGTGCATTTATAAATTGGAATTAGAGGAAGTTTCATGAATTGCCATGGATAAAGAGCAGCAAGTCTCGAGCAGTAATTAGGACCCCTTCACTAAGTGATAAGGGGGTTATGGATAATGACATTTCAGTAAAAAAAAAGATTATATTGGATCCCGCATTTAAATACATTTACAATTGATGTAAATTATTTCAACAGTGTTCTCTACTATAATAATTTAACCAGCCGAAAATCATTTCTATGAGCTACACCACAGAGAAGTAAGGTATAGAGGAAACTTGCTTATGGAACAACCGTGCTTTCAGCTGTAGTATCTTGGGGCAGAAATCTACCTGTGAGAAGCAAAGAAGAGCCCAAAAATGGCTCCCGAAGTGTGGAAATTGCTATCACTGAGGACATTGAGTCTTAGAATACCGTGAGCGTTGTAGTACATCAGGTCGAGGGGGCGGTGTTGAACTGCCCTTTGTGCTGGTGCTAGAGACCACTACAGTGTTTCATCTTGTGTCCTCTGTGGTTACACGACAGTAGCGTAATTTAAACACAAATTCAAACTAGGCATAATTGTAGTACGAATGAGAAGAAGTTTGTGACCTCATGACTAAGGATGTAAAAATTGTTGCAAATATGTAAGAAATATTGTTCAAAAAGGATTTGATTAATCATTTTAGAGTAAAACATAGTTTCCTCTTGTAATATAACTTTTAAAATAAAAAAAAACAACACATTATGAAGAACTTAGCATGGTTATTTATCTTCAGGGTGCATTTAATATTATTTTTATACAAGTTGGGAGACTTATCAAAAACTGTGGAGTGATAAAAAAAATCTTCTACACCTTTTTCCATAAAAATAAGTACAGTATCTAAAGAATTACCTTATACTTCTCTAGCATCGGCTGATTTTCCTAGGTGGATATTCTAGACACAGCAGGCGACATACAGTTCCCCGCAATGAGGAGGCTCAGCATAGCAACGGCTCACGCCTTCCTCTTAGTCTACTCCATCACCTCCGCAGATTCTTTCTCTCAAGCCAAATGTTGTCTGGAAGAGATTCGTGAACAGCGAGCCGACTGGCAGGAAATCCCTACTGTAGTGGCTGGCAACAAGCTAGACCTGGCAGTGACCAGACGGGAGGTCAGGGTAGAGGACGTCAGTGAGTGGCTGTTCTGCTCTCTACCTAAACTGAGGTGAGGTCAACATTTGATGTAGAGCTAGAGTAGAACTGGTAGGAGATCCCCACTGTAGTAGCCGGCAACAAGCTGGACCTGGCGGTGACCAGACGGGAGGTCATGGTAGAGGACGTCAGTGAGTGGCTGTTCTGCTCTCTACCTAAACTGAGGTGAGGTCAACATTTGATGTAGAGCTAGAGTAGAACTGGTAGGAGATCCCCACTGTAGTAGCCGGCAACAAGCTGGACCTGGCGGTGACCAGACGGGAGGTCATGGTAGAGGACGTCAGTGAGTGGCTGTTCTGCTCTCTGCCTAAACTGAGGTGAGGTCAACATTTGATGTAGAGCTAGAGTAGAACTGGTAAGAGATCCCCACTGTAGTAGCCGGCAACAAGCTGGACCTGGCGGTGACCAGACGGGAGGTCATGGTAGAGGACGTCAGTGAGTGGCTGTTCTGCTCTCTGCCTAAACTGAGGTGAGGTCCAACATTTGATGTAGAGCTAGAGTAGAACTGGTAGGTGATCCCTACTGTAGTAGCCGGCAACAAGCTGGACCTAGCAGAGACCAGACGGGAGGTCAGGGTAGAGGACGTCAGTGAGTGGCTGTTCTGCTCTCTACCTAAACTGAGGTGAGGTCAACACATGATTTATTGCTAGAGTAGAACTGGCAGGAGATCCCTACTGTAGTAGCCGGCAACAAGCTGGACCTGGCGGTGACCAGACGGGAGGTCATGGTAGAGGACGTCAGTGAGTGGCTGTTCTGCTCTCTGCCTAAACTGAGGTGAGGTCCAACATTTGATGTAGAGCTAGAGTAGAACTGGCAGGTGATCCCTACTGTAGTAGCCGGCAACAAGCTGGACCTAGCAGAGACCAGACGGGAGGTCAGGGTAGAGGACGTCAGTGAGTGGCTGTTCTGCTCTCTACCTAAACTGAGGTGAGGTCAACACATGATGTATTGCTAGAGTAGAACTGGCAGGAGATCCCTACTGTAGTGGCCGGCAACAAGCTAGACCTGGCAGTCACCAGACGGGAGGTCAGGGTAGAGGACGTTAGTGAGTGGCTGTTCTGCTCTCTACCTAAACTGAGGTGAGGTCCAACATTTGATGTAGAGCTAGAGTAGAACTGGCAGGAGATCCCCACTGTAGTGGCCGAAACGAGGTAGACCTGGCAGTGACCAGACGAGAGGTCAAGGTAGAGGACGTCAGTGAGTGGCTGTTCTGCTCTCTACCTAAACTGAGGTGAGGTCAAACATTTTATATAGAGCTAAAGTAGAACTGGCAGGAGATCCCAACTGTAGTGGCTGGCAACAAGCTGGACCTGGCAGTAACCAGACGGGAGGTCAGGGTAGAGGACGTCAGTGAGTGGCTGTTCTGCTCTCTACCTAAACTGAGGTGAGGTCCAACATTTGATGTAGAGCTAGAGTAGAACTGGCAGGAAATCCATACTGTAGTGGCTGGCAACAAGCTGGACCTCGCAGTGACCAGACGGGAGGTCAGGGTAGAGGACGTCAGTGAGTGGCTGTTTTGCTCTCTGCCTAAACTGAGGTGAGGTTCAACATTTAATGTAGAGCTAGAGTAGAACTGGCAGGAGATCCCTACTGTAGTGGCCGGCAACAAGCTAGACCTGGCGGTGACCAGACGGGAGGTCAGGGTAGAGGACGTCAGTGAGTGGCTGTTCTGCTCTCTACCTAAACTGAGGTGAGGCCCAACATTTTATATACAGCTAGGGTATAACGGTTTAATATAGAAGACTAAGGCTTTACAAATAATGTCTAAGACACCTTTTTGGTTAATTTCCGAAGGAAAAATTTACGAAATATGATTGTAACTATTATGTTGCTACTCTTTTTTATATTTTATTCAACGCAATTTTGTAAAAAAAAATAACATCCTAATTGTTTTTGCGTTAATTTCCCAAACACAGTGGTTAAAAGCAACACATCCAATTTCTGGGATTTACTAATCTTTTTTAATAGACCGAAAATCCCTACAAACTCGAGAATAACCATTTCATTATTTTAAAAGACATCATTTTTACATATTGTATCCATTTAAACTGCGTTTTAAAATACCTAAGGTTTTATAGTATTTGTTTTAAGTCATTAGTAAAACTTAATATTTTGTTTCACCATTTTCAAAGCAAATGAAAATAGTACGACATTACTCTTGCCTGTACTACATTTGTTAGTCGATATTGTATTGTCCTTTATGCTTAAAAGGACCTCAAAAAGGATCTGTGAAACAAGTGTTATAAGACGAGCCACTAAAGCCGTTTTGATGACCCTTGGCATTAGGAATCAATGGCTTGTCATGTAATCATTGGCTGACTGAAGGGTCCTTGTATATTGCAGAATTGCGGTCCTTGAATGAGGGTTTAAAATTACTATACCTCTATAACACAATTGACAGTCAATTCTGATTTTATAAATCATGAATGTGTTAAAGATCGTATAGTAAGTCCATCTGCATTTACTTTAAATGAATATGTTTAGAATTTATACTGAGGATTTATATTTTTGTTTACTAAATTCCCATTCTATGAGGCTGATTTTCGAAAAGAAATGTTCTACTTTTTGCCATCGTATTTGGCTTTCATTTTGTAAACCTAATGCTTATAAATAACTTATCTTAATGTAACTTTATAGTTCGTGCTATTAATTAACCAGGAGGAATTTATAAAGTAACTATTTATGTGAATAGCCTTGAATCAATAACCTTTTGGGTGATGGGACATCCAAAAATCTCAAATCGAGGGTGAGACATAAAAATGTGTACGACTCAGTGATTATACAAATTTATTTATTTTAATAGGCAAACAGTCCAACAAACAGTCATTGAATAAACCCTTTACTGTTCAAAAACTGAAAACCCAAATTCAAACTAACAGAGATGTACAAACTTGTCAATGCATGGAATATTCCATATTGTGTAATAGTTTTCATCAATAGATTTGCATTTTGATTGCAGAGCAAAACTGATGGAGTGCTCGGCCAAAGATAATTACAATGTGCGTGACATTTTCAAGTGTTTTGTCACTTTGTCACGGATTTTGCCACCGGCGGAGGACGAGACGCCTCTGAAGCGACGGTCTAGCGCCTACGTCAGAGGTGGACAACGTCGTGCGGCCAGTCCTCAGACTAGCTCTGAGGTATGTAAATTATAGTTGTTTAGAGTCTTCAAAAGGTACGAGAACGAAAGTATATATTTTGATCGTTGTAGGTATTGTAAGAAAGTTTGGCATCAAGTCAGACATTTTTTTAGAGGTTGGTGGCCTCTTTAACCATGCATATGCCCGCCCACATAGAATACAGATCTGTTCGTGGATCGTATTCAGCAAAGCAAGGGGTGAGCCGGTACAGTACAAAGGTGAACTGCACTGATAAAATGTTTGTGGGAGTGACTAGGGTCCGAACCATGTCCGAATTTACGACATCACTGCCTTGGGCCTGAAGTCCATAACGCTACCAACTGAGCACCGACTCACCAACTATTATTTATAACACACTTATTTTATAATAATTTTCACTTATAATAACTATTTTTTATAAAAAATATAATTTTTAGCAAATATGCATTTTTCTAGTGTACTCGGGATGATCCATAAGGAATTTAAGACTAACCATAGATAAGAGCGTATGTTGAGTAGTACGATAAACTAATGGTCTTTTTTGGAGAACTCGGATCTACAAACTCAGCAGAGGTGTGTTTAATTCTTCTCCAACTATATGATATTGAAAATTATTTACTTATTCAAATTGTAGACATATTTACTTTTAATTTTTCACTGATATTAAAGAAAATAATAGATTTAAAATTATCTAACAATGTACCATATAATTATTAAAATTTTTTACCACATACTATTTGAGATAGGGAAATGAAGACGGTTTATAATAAAAATGAGGTTAATTACTGACTTTGACTTGATAAATTGGCAGAATGTTGTTCAACCCAATATTTTTTTCACAGGAAAACACCCTTTTAATATAAGCATGCATTTAAAAATACAACCTTTAAGTAACGTATCTGCAATTGTCTATTGTCATTAACTAAAAAAAAACTTTCGTTATCTAATAATTGACAACTTCACTTTAAGAATGTATTTTTTGGTTCATTTTCTAGATACATTTTCTTATAAGTATTCTCCAGCTGCAATATTCCTAGCATTATTTTCACTTGTCTCCCATAATAATTGTACAATCTATTCCAGGCAAGCACAAGTACTCCGACCAACCCGGAACCATCCAGGGCGAAGCCCCGCAGCCGTAGTCTCATCAGACGTAGCAGCAGAAAAGCTAAACAGCAAATTCGAGATGCTCATAATGGCACTGATGACTGCAACGTCTCATAGAGCCATAAGATTGCAACATCTCATAAGTCATGAGATTGTGAAGTCTTCTAGATCTATGAGATTGCAGCCTACAGATTGCACCAACTCGTTTATTTTCGTACTTAGGTGCTGAGATTTGGACGTTATATTCCAATTTGACGTGATTTTGAAAATCGGTAGTATACATTGAAGTTTTTACTAATAAGTAGGTTTATCAGTTTAAATATTCTGAATGCTCAGTAAAGTTTAAAGTTGATGTTAGCTTGAAAGATTTGGTAACAATGTCACTTTGAAAAATACTTATAAATGTTTGTCTTGAAAGACAAAAATGATTAACTATGTAGCAAGGACTGAAAGATTAGTATTTTAGAATTGAGATATTTTAAATACAAGAATGATAATTGGGATGGTTTCATAAGGCTCAATTTCACTACGTAACCAAGATTCCTTGAGCACTTCATTTTGTATATTGAATTAGAATTTTTGCGTACTTGATTATAAAATTGACTGAAAAAAAAACATTCTATGTAACGGTAGACGCTTTTTCATTGACAGAAACATAGGTGGTGATTTTTTCTTAGGATGTTTGGCTATTTTAATTACATCACTCCAGTTTTCATAGCACTTTAGTTGATTTGAAAATTAAAGACGATTACCATATGATTTTCCTTTTTGGATTAATTAAATGTAGCTTTTTAATCAAAATTACTCTAATTTACAGCATTAATTTGTGCTGGTGTTCAACTAAACCTATTAATACTACACTCTTAAAAGGCTCAAGCTTCAAAAGGCATTGGCTCTTTATAGAAGTTTTCCAATATAGGGGAAAAAATTATAAGAGAAATTGGGCCTTAGTCTCTCAAACACATTTATTACATCTCTTAAACCAGGTAAGAGCTTTAATGTAGATTGCTAGAATAGAGTACGTTTAGGGTCATTATTAATGTACTTTTAAGATTTTTTATGTTTATATGTGCATAGTGTTAAGGGCTTGTGTAATTTTAAGAAATATAATAGATATTTTTGGTGGGCAAAACGTTGGTAAATTTATTAAAATCTCCAATATTTAAAAATGTTAGCATTTAAACTTGGGAGTTAAAAGTGTATATTTTTTACTTTAACGCTGCACAATTTCAAACCATAACATTTTCGAATATAAACGCCATAATTCACCTATGGCTTTATATTATTCGCTATTATGATTTATAAAAATAAATTATGTTGAAAAACACTCTCTCTGAGTATGCTAGGAATCAAACGATATTGAATATATTGGAATTTTGACATTTAAAATTAATTCATATGTTACATTTGGGATGGTTTTAAATGTTTTAATTGGTACTATAAACTGTTTGATGGAACCTGTCACCTTTCCCGCCGTCTACCTTTGGATCTGGCCAATGGCTTAAGGCTCGAGCCATTGGCCAGTCCCGGGAATAGGAGACAAATTCCATCATACAGACAGCCATATGGACCGAAAATCGCTAACGGACCAAATAAGGTGCACATTTTTACTTTTTACTACTTGTAAGTTTTTTTTAGCTTTGCTTGAATAACTATTAGGTAGTAAAGGCCTATAATACAAGAATAATTACGTTATTAAGACTAAGACTGTACCACTTAGAGCTTAATAAGTCAGCAGATAGATTTAATTTAGAAGCTTGTTGTTTACAAATATTGTCTTAGATTCATGTTTAGTTCCCGAATAATTATTTTTAATGGTTTATATGAATGGTAATAACAAAAATAGTCAACCATAAACTCAACGTTTTTTTATGATCTCAGACGCACATATTTAGGTATGATTGTAAAACATTTAAAATAAGTGTTGATTTTATGGCTAAATGTATTTGTTATCCGTCCTTAATTGTACATAGGATAAATGGTAATTACAATATATGTATTGCTTTACCTGTTTAAGGTCCATCCACAGCCATATTTTAGATGTTTCATAAGGATCAGGTTCAATGCATGATTTCATTTTATCCCAATTGCTTGTATTGTACGGAGTTAATTGTAAAATTTAATGAAAGTTGTATGTGTAAATTATATTGAAAATTCTGTTATCTTTTTTGTTATGGGTTAACTTAATGCAGAAGTCTATGGTCTATGTTTTTTTTTTTATTTGAGGAAAATTATTGCTTACCCAATATTTAACAGATTTAATTAAGCTTTGAATTTAATTTTTTTCAGGTTTACATGTTTCTCCGTACATTTAGTATCCAAAATGTGACGGACTATAGTGTGATAATTTGTGGAACGTAAAGATCTGACATCGAACTGTCTAGATTGGGTTTACTTGTAATGTCTTGATGTGTGTTTTACTAGATATTCCATGTCTTTGATGTCATTGGTCAATGTATAATTGAAATAAATTGATTAAGGTTTCCATGTTATAATTTTACAGATGTTTGATATAAAAGTTTATCACAGTTTAAAATGTTGTTTTTAGATGAAACATTTTGCTGGATGGCTTTGGTAGTTTTGTTAATATTTAAACAGTTTAATTCACTAATTTAACTAACAGCTGATGTCAAAGTTGATTCCTTAATATATTGTGAATATAGTAGTTTAAGATAAGGATTGAATTATTTAGCCAACATATTAAATATGATGTATTATAGTTTAAACCATTCTTAATTTGTGATACTTTCAAAATAATTATAATTACGTAAATAATTGATATGCAAAATAGTTTATTTTATTTTTGTTATTGAATCAGCATGAACGTAGCGTGTAAAAAATGTTTACGCTGGTTTAGCCTTGCAGTTGTATGTATGTTATTGAATTTCATGTTAATTATTTAATGTTTATTGTTATTTACATTGTTAAAGTTTGTTATCGAAGTAAATTATTATATTTGATGGTTACGCTTAATATAGCTATTACTGTATGTTATGATCGTAATGTATGTAGGATGGGAGCAAGATTTAATGTTTGACCATATCATATTGTACCAATACAAGATAATAAAGTTTTTGATGATTTTCTTCATTTATTTGTACTTTTCTGTGTGAAACCATTGAAATTATACTTTGTTGTATTTAAACTCATTACGGTTCAAGAATCTTACAAATAAATTACTAAATGATTTTTTTTTCACACCAAAACCATAACATATTGTGCATATTCCATATTGCCACTATTACCATACCCCATCGACCATTTTTACACTATAACTATACCATATTCACACCATAACCATACCATATCGACACCATAACCATACCATATCGACACCATAACCATTCCATATTGGCACCAAAATTAAACTATACTGACCATATTGACACCATATAATCCATACAGTACCACACTCCAGGGAATATAAAATGACTCACCTAATATGACTTCCAATTAATTTCATCTTTCAAGTAACCTATATCAAAGTTTACGGTAAATTTTCTTTTTGAATTTATTTGTCTTACCTATCAGATGCAATAATTGTTGAATAACTATTTTTTTTCATCTTTCAACCATAAAAAAATTGTAATACTTGCTTTAATGACTGAAGAACGTCAAGCCAACAAATAAACCTCTCCTGTCTATCGTATTCCTTCTGCTGGTGAGTAAATGTTTTCAGTAGGATTTTTAAGCACAGGCGCTTAAGTTTTATACGACACATTTTTCTGCTGACGACAAAGTCGATTTATTAATGTATTGAGAGCTAATAGTCAAGAGATGTGTATGTTGTTTGAAAACAATATTTTTACTATGGTGCACCCTTGAACACTTTTAACATTGATTTAAAAGTCTACAGTATTTCATATACACAAATTGACAGATTAACTTTAATTTTATTTGTATTTTTGATGCTTAGGTGGATTTGTTAAATCAATAAACTATGAAAAATATTCTTACATCGAGTTGAGCAAATACATAATACATAACAATTAATTAATTCCCAAATAATTTAGGCTTGAAAGTAATTATTTCACAAAACATTAAAAATGCAACTATAAAATACGGTAATAGCATAGTTTGAAGAGAGATTATGAAAGATTATAATAGGTAAATGCATTATGTATTGGAGAAACATAAAAAGTTATTCAAATAATAATTGTAAATTCCTTAAAGGACCTACAATGCTGAATTCTACCAATTCTATAAATTAAAGAATATCTAAAGAATTTCAAATTTAAATATATTATACTTTATTTCAAATACATTGTTAGTTATATAAATATAAAATACGAATCGTTTGTCCAGAGACTGGCTATAGAAAGAACATAACCTCATTGCCAGTAGAGTGCTTATACGTCTAGCTTCACTGGGCTGTAACAGCTAGTGTGTGCTCATTGTTGACTGTAGTTTGACTCTGATTTTCATTGGAAGCTTTGCAAGAAAACTATTAAATTATACCATTATTATATATGAAATGTATACTATACTATACTGACCATATTGACACCATATCCACACCATTTTCACCATATTGGCACCAAACCCAAGCTATGGAGCTATGTAACAATGGAGTTCATATATTTTACAAAGTTTAGTCACATTATGATAAGAGTTCGTTAGTTAACCGTTCAAAGTTAATAAACGGTTGCAATTGTTCCTATCACGTTGTCCATATATTGTCCCAGTAGTAATTATTTTTTTTGTTTTACTAACACTGTTCGGTTTGTACTTCTATTGCGTTCTACTTGACTAATAATTCTAAGATATCAAACAAAGATAGTTAATCCACCTAAAAGATATGTAAACTTTTTTAATGGATGTATTTATTCTGCCACATACCTCTACTTCAGTTATCATTGTTTGATTTGTCGGTTCAAATTTTGTCAATTGGTCTAAATAGAAATATAAAAATAAAACTACTAGAATTACTTTCCTTTTATTTTATTTGCATTGCTAATGAGGAGATGAACGTTTTTTTAATTTCCCCTACTTATAGTAGTGACCAAGAAAAGCAAAACTCCTAAGTGATTTACTAACGCCGAAAGAAGCTTGATATACCTACTAAGTAGTTGCAATACAAAATGCTTTTCAATTTGCCATTTTGTCAAATTCGTGATTTTATAATAAAAAGCTAAAAAGTCAGTGTCTATTTAATCCCCTCTTTTATGTCGGCGTTTCTATTTATGTTGTTTAAATTACTTTTTTTACATCTTGATCACTGAACCGTTTGTAAACTGGTATTTTTACGTTGCAGGTTTATTTTAATTTGAATAAATGAACAGATTCCTGGCATTGAAACATTTTTACTTATTATTGATGGAATATAACGGCAATAAAATTATTTCAAACATAAACGACTGCATCAAAGCTTAATAAGATATTAAATAACAGAGAAACATTAATTTTGTAATTATCCTAGACAATGCAACGTTAGTCTCAAAGAGATGTCATTAGCTTCCATATCATCATGTATGTAATCAGATGACTATTGAGATTAGCGCAAGAGATTAATGGAGATTAGACTATGTAAATTGAAACTTTGTATGAGATATTATAAGGGTGTGTTATTTTTACTGACATCCCTTTGTTATTTAAATGAAATATGTTTCGTATGATTACAGTATTAAGAATACGTGCTTAATTTGATAAGGTTTTGAAAGTAGTTATTGTAATAAATGGAACACATAAATTAGAATAAAAGTATTTTATTATAGCTCTCCTAAGAAGGTATATAACGCTACAAACGATAATTAATTCTTCAATATTTCCTATAATCACTAATAAATCGATTTTCATACCCAGTATGATTTTGTTTCCATTACTGCAACGTACGATAATTGTATATATAATAAAATAAGAGATGTCAACCAAAATAATCCACGCTCAACAGTGTAAGTGGAGCTACATAGTCAATATTTAGTACTGCCAATCATTACACCACCACTACAGTGATATTGATGCAGATGTGTAACATTTACACTCACCACATCCATCAATGTCCCTTTTGTCAATTATTGACTCACGGCATGACGGAGTGTTAAACATTTACATAACCATGTCATCGAGCATTAATGAACATTCGTGGCATTGTGAACTACAAACATTGTAAAGCTTGCTGGTTTAGCTAACTAACATTATCGCTAATTCATTTAGAGACCTAAAGCTATCTAAATAAGATTTGTAATTGAATAGGTTGAACATAATTGCTTTTTAATCCCAATGCGTGGGAATGATAACATTTTCGTACCTGCAAACAGAACGCAAAATAGCCTATTGTCGCCCTAGTGCGGGAAAGTACCATTCCTGCTCGCTAATAAGCTGATTTCCGTGCTACGCTAAACACAGCCACGGATCCGGTACGTTAGTTAACAACCGGTAAGCAAATGACATAACCTTAAAATAGTAGCATGACATATTGACATTTTATATGCATCAAAAAGTGCATCTGTGTGTTATTAAACGTTTATTATGGTGGTAGGAAAAATCTTCTGTGTTTAACGAGCAAAAAAGTCATTGCTTTTTTCGAAATGTAAGTCATAGTCAGCTAAAGCTTTGTGCGGCCATCTACAGTTCTCGAGCGGCAATGACGTTCTTTTTTCACTCTTAATACACAAACAGTTATAATAGATATGAAATGTACGAAAACAGCTAAGGAAAACCATCTAGAACCTAAGTTTAAAAAACTATATCTTACTACTGAAAGAATCTGTAATTTGGTGTTAATTAATTACTTAAACACATACTTTTTGCTTAATACCTTTAGACATCCCTACAATAGAGAAAATATTTTGTAGAATTGACCTTGTTTTAAAATTTATATTATAGCAACTAATATTTCTTCTGATTTATTAGTTTTGAAAAGTACTGTATATTGTAAACTAAGGGAGGTTAAAGTAGTTTTATACAAAGAAAATACTTATTCATCGTTATATAACTATGCGTTTTATAAATATAGTTCAAATACTGGAAACATATTGGTTTCAAGAGCTACGTTGAAGCATCAGTAATAAGAAATGTTATTGAAAGAGCTACTGTAGAAACGTTTTCAAAGACTTGAATACGCTACAGCAACCACCAACTCCATATACAGAATGCTTTTCATCTGTGAAGTATCGTTGCATATTTTGTTAACACACGCCAACAAGATCATCCACAAGATTAGAAAAGAAATATCACTGACCGACGTAGGAAAATTATGAACTTACGAAATACTATGAATAATTTCCATGTAGGCATGATGCAAATAACTGATTTTTTAAGAGTTTCAAATCTAATTTTCACAGAGACCTTAAAGAATTTTATGTGTTTACAAAAAAAAAAAAAAAAAAAAAAAATGCAGAATGTATTACGATATTGCTTATAGCACTGGACACCATTGGTCACCTGATCATCAATATGTAGGTATTGTAAAAAAAATTAATTTTCAAATTTTGTGTTAAACCAGAAACAGCTCTCGACTGTCATTTCAAATAGGATTTATTAAATTATTCGTGTAAGTTTGTAGTTTTTTGGTAATAAATCGTAATGTTTCCTTTCATAAAGAATCCTCTTTATAAATAATTTATTTTAGGTCGTGCCATTAAACCCAGTTGTTTTTAGCGAATTTCCCTATAGGGAAGTAGCTATTACCGTAGGTCTCATGGTAAGACTTAGGCCCGGGACCGATTTACTTTTTCATTTTGATGTCCCCAGAGGCCAAAAACACCACTCGTTCAAATTTTTATATATATATATATATATGTGTGTGTCCGTGAACACGATAACTTGAGTAATTTTTACCTGATTTTGATGAAATTTGGTTTGAAGGTGTAAGGCAGGATAAACTTGCATGAGTTCGCGATCCAGCATGATCGGACCATGGGAACAGGGTTTTATGGGGGGTATTATGGGATAAAAATTGGTTTTTCTCAATTTTGACCCTCAAAACACAAAATTTCCCAATTTTTCTCTAAACTTTCTTAAAGAGCTTAAAAAAACAAACAATTCAGTATATCAAAGTGTTTTTGTACGGTTATTGGTTACGGAGAAAACTAAAAAAATGGTAAATTTAAAATTCCCATGTTAT